GATCGACAGAGCAGCAGAGGAGAATGCTTCTTCTTTGGTACACAGAGTTCACTGAACAAGGAAAGGGTTTGACATTTTTGTTTCATCTCTGGTGAGACAATCTGAAGAAGTCTTTTCTCAAATATCTTTGTAAAAAGAGAAAGTTATAAGCCAAATTTAAGGATGGTGTTATGTATAACCAAAGGAAGACACCTTATTTGAACATCCTATGTTGAAATGACTACCTAACATAGTGACTCACAGGAGGTTTCTAGTGGAAATCAAATGCTCAAATGAAACAGCACGTTATGCCCTTTACTGGTTGGACTCTGGTAAATGCCTGCCAACGAATAGTACTTTACCCGAAGGGACACGTAGCAGGTACCACAGTGTCTAACCACAAGCATTAAAGGTCTGTGTAACTCAAAGAATAGGAAAGACAGTTCTCATAGAATCAAATAAGATGCAAACTAGTCTTTAAGTTCAATGAATATGTAAGTGAAGTGTAAGTGACTATAATGGCTTGATATCCCTATGTAAGTGGTGCAGATATCCTGGGAACCCTTAGAAATCTATTCAAATGGAAAACAGGAAGCATTTTCACATGACCTTGTATTCCTAATCCCTGTTACTCATAAAAACCTACATATTTTAACAAAGCTACTTTTCTAAGAGTGGCCTTCTCTGGTTAATCCTAGAAAAACCTTATGTTTGCAACTTTAAGGTGATATTCCCAACCAATTTATTTTTGTTAGCTACTTTAACCATAATTTGTATATAAAGCTCATGATAGCAAATGAAGTTCTAATCTCACTAGAAGATAAGAACAAACAATTTTCATCTTTTAGTTCTTTATGTAAGGATATAATTTAAGAGGAAACATGCTTAATTTTAGAGATTTTTAACTTTTGTATTTCATTTTGTGACCCTATCAAGTCTGCTATCTTTTACGTAGGTTGTCTAGGAGGTTTAAGCTCAAGGTTAGGGTTCCAGAAAAGGGTTTTGAGAGTGAGGAGGGTAGATTTAAGAACCAATTTTATAAGCAGTCAGGATGACCAAGAGGTCTAAGAATGGATTTTATACTGAAACGTGGCCATAAGTATTTTCAAGTACATTCAAGTAGCCCTCACAAGTAGTTTTTTCCTTTCTTCACCAAAACATCCCTTTCTTCACCAAAACCCCCTAAGCCACCTCATCTAAGTAGGATTCATTCATATCAGGTCTCTCCGGTGGGAGTTTCCAGGGACAAGGGTTAGTCCCTTACTTACAGCCTTAGCCATACTAGGGTATTTACTCTAACTCTAGAGAAGTTTCTTAGTTAATATTCTATAGCGAAAGTACTAAGCGCTGGAATTCTCCCTCTGAATCTCTTCCTAGAAATGGAATTTAGAAAGCACAGGACTCCATCCAGCCATACTGGGGACTCAGACAAGTGTTTCTCATCACAGATATAAATAGAGGTCTATTATGATACACTCACTTGGTCGACTGGCATGGTAATGACAGAGAATGCTGATTTGCTCCAAACTCATACAGTTTCACACATGAGGAGAATCACCGATGTTTCAAAAATCAACATTACTTGGAAGTGATTGGTAATGATATGGCCTAACACTTTAAATCCCCAAATTCAGAGTGATTTTATAATAGCATACAAAGAATATAAAAATTCAAAGATGACCATATTAGACAGACTAAAATTTGGCTAGGTTTAGCTGAGTTGGAGAATCCTTAGTACCCTCCCACAGGCAGTGTTGAAACTGAAGATAGGCAGTTAATAGCGTAGGCATGATGATGACTATGTATGAGCAGAAAAGTAGCACCACCAGTTTTCTTGTCCTGGCCCTCAGTACTTCTGCACTGATAGGAAGGTAGACTGGTTTGGCTTAGCTCTTAAAAGTGAAAACTTTTTGATTTTTCTTTTTGGGCAAACTTATAAAAATTTGGGTTTTAAATCTACCCGCCTCACTCTCAAAAACCCTTTTCTGGAACCCTAACCTTGAGGCTTAACCTCTAGCACAACCTAGGTAA